CTACAAACCAGCCAGAAAACAAGTAATAAGATGACGTTAGTATCAATAATTAACTCTACTAAATGTAAATGAATTAAATTCTTCAATTAGAAAACAGAGAATGACTGGATGAATTAAAAAAAAAAAAAAAGGCAAGACCCAACTATATGCTGCCTGTAAGAGACTCACTTCAGTTTTGTTTTTTTTTTTCAACGTTTATTTATTTTTGGGACAGAGAGAGACAGAGCATGAACAGGGGAGGGGCAGAGAGAGAGGGAGACACAGAATCGGAAACAGGCTCCAGGCTCTGAGCCATCAGCCCAGAGCCCGACGCGGGGCTTGAACTCACGGACCGCGAGATCGTGACCTGGCTGAAGTCGGACGCTTAACCGACTGCGCCACCCAGGCGCCCCAAGACTCACTTCAGTTTTAAGGGCTTAAAGTGAAGGGACAGAAAAAGATGTTCCTAACAGGCAAGTCAAAACCTAAAGAGAGCAGGGGTAGTTACACTTATATCTGACAAAATAGACTTTAATCCAAAAAAAATGTAACAAAGATAAAGAAGATCATTATCTAATAATAAAGAGGTCATTTCTTCAAGAGGACATAACAGTCATAAATGTATACACATCCAATGTCAGAGCACCTAGATGTAATTAAGTAGATACTAACGGATCTAATGGGAGAATTAGGCAACAGTACAATAATAATAGAGTTCAATACCCTGCTTTCAACAACAGACAGATCATCCAGACAGAAAATCAATAAGGAAACGTTGGACTGGAGCCACACTTTAGACCAAATAAACTTATCACACATATGCAGAACATTCCATCCAGCAGCAGAGAACACATTCTTCTCAAGTGCACATGGAACATTCTCCATGATAGATCATACAATAGATCACAAAACAAATCTTAGCAAACCTAAGAAGGTCAAAATCATACCAAGTGTCTTTTCTGACCACAAGGGTATAAAACCAGAAATCAATTAGAAGAAGAAAACTGGAAAATTCACAAATATGTAGAAATTTAACCACATAATCCTGCACTACTAATGGGTCAGTAATCAAAATTTTCTCAGGATGCCTGGGTGGCTCAGTTGGTTAAACGTCTGACTTCGGCTCAGGTTATGATCTTGCGGTTCAGGAGTTTGAACCTGGCGTTGGGCTCTGGGCTGACAGCTCAGAGCCTGGAGCCTGCTTCAGATTCTGTGTCTCCCTCTCTCTCTGCCTCTTCCCCGCTCATGCTCTCTGTCTCTCAAAAATGAATAAACGTTAAAAAAAATTAAAAAAAAAAAAAAAAGAATTGTACACCCTTATCACGTGGACTTAGCCTGGAGACTCCAGGATGGTTTCACACATGCAAATCCATAAACATGATACACCACGTGAATGGAATGAAGGATGAAGGTCATAGGATTATCCTGATAGGTGCAGAAAAAGCTTTTGACAAAACACAACCTCTTGTCATGCTAAAAGCTCCCAACAAATTGGGTATAGAACATAAGCACAAACCATAAGAGAAAAAATTGATAAATTGGGTATCATCAGAATTAAAACATTTCCATCAAAAAATACCATTAAGAGAATGAAAAAGCAAACCATAGACCATGAGAAATTACTTGCAAGCACAGAATTAATATTGCTTGTTTTAATGTTTTTTTTTTGCATTGAGATATAATTCACGTAACATCGCACTTACCATTTTAAAATGTAATCTGAATGACTTTTACTATGTTCACTGTGTTGTACACTATCCCACCATCTAATTCTAGAAGTTTCTGCCACCCCAAAAAGAGACCTCTTACCTCTTCATCCCTTTTTATGCCTGAATCACATTCCATTTGGGGGATATACCACATTTGTTTACCATTCCCTAGTTAGCTTGTTTCCAATTTGGGCCTATTATGATAATACTGTGTGGACATGTGTTTTCAATTCTCTTGGGTCTATGCCTAGAGGCATAATTTTTGTGTCCTATGACAACTCTGTTTGACTTCTTTGGGGAACTGCCAAATTAGTTTCTACAAAGGCTTTATCATTTTACATTTTCACCAGCAATGTATGCGATTCCAATTTCTTTGTTTTTTTTAAAATTTTTTTCTAATGTTCATTTATTTTTGAGAGAGAGAGAGAGAGAGAGAGACTGAGCATGAGCGGGGGAGCAGCAGAGAGAGGGAGACACAGAATCCGAAGCAGGGTCCAGGCTCTGAGCTGTCAGCACGGAGCCTGACGCGGGGCTCAAACTCACAAGGTGAGAGATCATGACCTGAGCCGAAGTCTGTTGCTTAACTGAGCCATCCAGGTGTCCCTGAGGGTCCCAATTTCTGTATACCCTCCCCAACACTAATTGTCTTTTTTATTTTAGCCACCCTAGGGGGTGTGAAGTAGGATCTCACTATGGGTTTTTCTTCTTCTTCTTCTTCTTCTTCTTCTTCTTCTTCTTC